GGGTGTTCTTTACTTCCTGTCCCAGAGTGACATGAGGAAGTGAAAAAAATAATAGAGGATCCCACCTCATCAAGACAGTTGTCTCTTTAGGTGGATATTCTTTCTACGTCTGTTCCAGTAAAATCCATTCAGTTTGGGATTTTTCCTCAAAATGGTTAGGGGAAATCATCCCAACAGAGACATGGAGAAAGCCTGCTTGGGCTTGATATTCCTTCGAAAATGAACATAAAGGAAGCCTGCTGCATCTCGCAAAGGAGATACCAGTGAGATGCACCTCATACACTTGGCTCTCCCAGTCTTAGTTCTGCTATGTAGGGGATTACAGGAAGCTGATATGACAGATTTGAGGTATGTATAGCACCTATATTGAAGTATACATGTAATGTGTTTGTATTTGACAGGAGTTGAGGTTTTAAATGCCTCTTTTCAGTATATATTTAGTAAGTTCATTCTATAATTAATATATCACAAGAGCTAAACATTTATTGAGGAAAATCTTTGAAGTTTGACACTATTCATGGAAAATAGGAACTGTTGGCAATTGTGGTATACATAGAGAATGCTTTCACTGTTTTAAAACACTTTGAAGGTATAGCAATGTAAAGTATGTACCTGTGCCTGCATTTTATTGTAATTGTAGATCTAGTTTTGTCCTCATTTGGGCAGGGAAGAAACAGGTGCAGTGTGTCATTAGAGGGAGTGAAGATTTGGCCATATGCCTCATGACGTTTTCTCTGGCACATTTCAGATGGAGATGGAAATCCAGAGAGTTTCTGAAGCGTATGAAAGTCTTGTAAAATCCTCATCCAAGAGAGAGACTCTAGAGAAAGCCATGAGAACAAAGCTGGAAGGAGAGATCCGCAGAATTCATGACTTTAACAGGGACCTTCGAGGTACAAAACCACAGCTATTTGTATATCTCAGACCATCACACACCATAATGTACCATGTCTTTTTTGCAGTTTACAATGAAATAGTATGACAACAAAAGAGCGCTTAATTTTGTGCAAATACTTTTTGTTCTTAACTTTTGTTTTCCTGCATAGACTTGGGCTAAATAGATAGGCCTTTACAGTCCTATCTTCTCCCACTGGCATGCAGATGTGTTGGCACGTGTACAGCTTGCATTTACTCCTATGGTAAACCCAGGTTGTAATGCACTTGGAGCGTGAATCAGAGTGGGGCTCCACCTATGCATTGACCCTGCATACTGACCGGTGCTCTATGTGCATTGGAGCTTGTGCTTACTAAGTAAAGGTATACAGCCAATGTTTATGTCAGTACCACGTGTTGGATGCATTAAACTATTTGGATAATCTTTTGCTCAGGAGTTTTAACCTTGGGTTTAACAAAGTTGTGTCTTTGTCAAACCTCTCTCCTAAATATACATTTTCATTTTAAATGTAATGCCATTTTAAATGTTTCTAATATATTAAACTGGGCAGGTTTTATACATTAGAAAAACAGAGACAAAGATGCACAGATCCAATGTATTAAAAGCAATGTGTTTTAATGATAATAAAAACAAATGGGAAACCAGTGCATCTCAGGCCAGTGGAGTACAGTCACCTGCCTGCATGCCATTGCCAGTGGCAGGGCTATGGTACAGATCTTCAGCTGTGAAGATAACTTCTAAGACAGAACCTCGCTGTTTGAGACCTTAGAGCGGATCCCATCTTAAGAGTCATCTTGACAGCTGAAGATTTGTACCACAACTCTGCCATTGGCCATGGCGTGCGGGCTGCAGTTGCCTCCAGTTTATGGATGTCCTCGGTCTTTAGGAACTTCTGGATCAAGTGTACCTTAGGCCCCATTCATACCTGAGCTTTGCGATGCAGGTTTCCCTATGACTGACAAAGCTCAACAAGAACAACATCCCATTGTCTTTAATAGTGCCGGGTCATTATTGTTTAACTTGTAGCTTGACGCTTGTTGTTCAAAAAGCAGAATTTGTGCATTTTTGGCCCCATAGACTTGAATGGGAGCACCTAAACGCCACAAAAAGGTGCAATTTTGTGCTTAACACTTGTCTCCTCATAGTAACTGGCTTTATATTGGCCAGAACAAAAATGCTCAAGTCTGAAAATGCCAGAAAAAGCATCAAAATTGCCTGAAACCACTTATGCTGATGTGCATTATTCTTCTGTAACCTTTCCCTCCATTAATCTATAACCACAGCGTACAATTCCTTCATAGTATTGTGTGGCTATGCCTCTTCTATATATTTGTATCAGTTTTTTAGATTGCAAAGTTTTTTGCAGACTTCCTTGCTAACTCTTACCCAGCTATTTTTTGTTGAAAGTTATGCATGAATTCCATTCACATTTTACTTCCTGAGCGCTAAGAGGGAGTGTCTGCCTGCTATAGTCACATTATCAGTCCTAGACATACAAATTGCTGAGAGAAGCAGATAGCTAATCACATGGGCAGTAAATGAGAACACCCCAGAAATGTGATTTACTCTCTGGGTTACAAGGAACTAATATTTACATTTTTGGCAGTTTTAGAAAATCAGAAAGAAAAGTACATTTTTGACAACATATTACAACTGGCTTGTTGTATAATTTTGGTTCAGTGAAAGTGCCATTTTCCTTTTTAAAAGCATCTCCATATGCCGGTTTACTCTCTGCACAGACATATTATTATTAAAGCGCATTTTAAAAGGTACTGTATAAAAGAGGAAGAAATAAAATGTAATTGTGTTGCACATAATAGTTATGTTCCAGCGGTTATTTTCTAGTGGAGAGAGTGAAGAATAATACCTGGTTATTGTGGGCAACACCCAGAAGACCCATGTAAGAGATTTTTTTTTAGTATTTTAATGTTCATACCTTTGCCCTGATAGTTGACGTGTTCCCCGGAGTTCAGCTTTAAAAGATGACACTTTTTTACTTCTGTTTGTAATTACTGAAAAAGGTACCATGTTCCTGAACATTTGTAAGCCCTCATGCACATGGGCCTCCTGCGTTTGGTATAATCAACCCTGTACCTCCCAGATCCATTTCACCTGAATCAAGATGCGCATGCATTTTCACATGTTTTTATGTGTTTAGCTGCATAAAACCAGCTAGATTGAATGCACCAAAACACTTCTGTACGTCTAGGTGTGGGTTCGGCCATAAAAAAAAGAAGCAATACATACTTCCAGATGCATTTAGGAATGAGCACCAAACGCACTTGGATACATGTACTTTAGTGTAACACAACACTAACCTGTTTGTAAACACTATCGAATGATTCACTTTTTAGAAATTGGAAAAAAAACGGAAAAATGTGTCGATGACAGTAACTACTTGAATTTAAGTCTTCAGTCTAAGTGTCAGCCATTATATGTTGATATATTGATTTGTCAGTGTTTGTATATGTGACTTCCAGCAAAAAAAGTCTGTGCTGTTCAATGTACATTTTCAGTTCCCAATAAGGTGTTAATTGGTCTTTAGCTCTTGCATCTCCCTTTATGATCCCTAGACTACCCCTTGTGTTACGCCACTCATTGTGATTTATCATTTTTATCCCACCATGGTAAAATGGAGAAACAACTATGTGATTTCATATTTTAGTATAACATTTAAACATTTAATGTTGCTGGTTTACCTTTGTTATGTGATTAGGGAATGCTATTAAATCCGCCTATTATGAATAGTTTGCTCATGGGACCTTTTGTTCACATAGCAAAGTCGTTCAGGTATTCAGTAGAATAGTGTCGTTCTCTTCAAAATGATTGGGTGTTTCCTGTAATAAAGACCAACCCTTCAGAATGATTTTAACCATGTGCATTGTCACTTAAATTCCAACTCCTCCACAAAATAATCATCTGCCATTAATCTGCTTCCTCTCAAATGTGCCTGATTGATGCCTCCTGGTTTTCAATGTTTAAAAGAATTCCAGCAAGCAGTGTATTGATGAATCACCACTGTATCAACTAAGCATTCATTGGTTTTATGAAGTTATGCAGTGTGTGTCTAATAAGTGATCGTATTCATTAAAGCTAAACTTCAGGCAAACAGTTGCATTTGCAGTTGATGTACAGATACTGGAGCTGTTTTACTCACCACAGGATTTATAATTCTGTCAAGTAAGTGTTTGAGGTTCACCAGACAGCAAAGCTGGGTTGGTGACTGGACTTTTTTATATATTGCATTTGACCCTTTCTACCCAGGCCTTTTTTGCAGGTTTTTTGCACATGTTATAATCCGCATTTTAGACCTGAAAATTACTTAAAACCCCCAAATATTATATGTTTTCTGAAAGCAAAGACCCTGTAAAATAAAATGGTGGGAGTTTTTTACGTCTCACAATATTAGTGCAACTCTTTATCAAACCCCAATTTTTTTTAAAAATGCACTTAATTTTAGTGCCTAAAACACAATACAATATCCATTTTTTTTTTTTTTTTGTAAAAAGGAGATTCAAAACGGACGAGTTCAAGTCATGTTTAGGGACTATTCTTTTAATAAATACATGTTTATTATTTTATATCTGCTTGGAGTTCAGCTTTAAGTTAACACGATGCAAATTTCATATCACGCAGTGGAATAATGCATATTTTTTTAGTAATGAGACATGCATTATGTTCTATATATAGCACGAGAAGGATGTTTTCTAGAATAAGCTAATTTTTACTTTAATGGTTCACTGGTAACTATGTACTTCCCAGAGGTATGAGGTACTATTGGCCTTAGTGATGTAGCCAATTCCCACAGAAAGAATAGGCTACATTTTCAGCAATGTTGATTGTGGAAACAAAAACGGCCACATTTGTTGTGTATATGTGATGCTTCCTGTTTAAGTTGCTGCTATAAAACATTTGTTAAAGACTTAACCTCTCTTGTTGTTGCTTAGGAATTGTTGGATCCGTATCAGAGTAAAATCTCCAAGCTTTTAGTTTCCATGCATTGTAGCATCTTATTTGCAGAACGAGTAAAAAGACATTTCTCTCCTTCAGAGCGAATGGAAACCGCAAATAAACAACTCGCAGCAAAGGAATTGGAAGGGTCAGAGGACAACAGAAACACCATATCACAACTTCTAGCGCAAAGTAAGTTTCTGCAATAACTATTTCTTCTCCATTGGGACCATTTATGTCATGAATCATACTTAAGGATGCTTAATAAATAGGAAATTGTGAAGGATAGCGAGTAATGATCTTGAGGATAGGCTTGATGGCGAGAATGTATCCAGGGGTTGGTGGTGGTCAATAACCGTAGAGTACAACACCACCAACCCCTTGATCCATCCTCACCATCATGCCTATCCTCAAGATCATTACTTCAAAACCCACCTAACAGGCCCACACTCCACGTGGACCTCCAATTTCTGACAGATCTCAGCTCGGTCGTGGCGCTTCCTCCCCTACTTTTTGACTTCCTGTTCCAAGCGTCGGACACCCCGGTCCGCACACAAGAGAAGCAGCGAGCGCTGTACCACGGGACTACCCTTGTAACTTTTCATGGACACTTTTCTATTGGCTGTCCAGCATCGGGGTCCTCTCAGGACCCAAACGTGAGTCTGTAGACAATGACATCAGCGCAAGGGGGTCGTTCAGGAGAGTCTGTCGCGGGCACATATGCAGCACTAGAGTATTGGTCTCATAAACAGTGATGGTGGGGGACCTGGATAGCTGACTTGTGCATATGAAACACTTGAGAATACATTTTTTGATGGATTTTTTTTCAAATGGGCTTTCTGCATTTCTTGTATTGCATTATATTCTACCCTGCATGAATAAGAGGTTTTGTTTTGCCTTGGCAATTTGGTTTGATCGATTTTACAAAGCAACACTGGCCATTTAGTGCCATGGAAACAAGCAAGTCGGCTGACATCCTTAGGGCTTGTCCCCACTCTAGCTGCTCTGATCTGATGAACTTCTGCATTAGGACCTGAGATGACGTTTTAGTAGAGAATAAGGTTTTTGTATACAGTTATTGCACTAAATGAGTAGTTTGTGAAGATTGTACCCTGGATTTCACAGTCTGTTAAAATCTCTGGAAGACTAAAATTCCTGGTTTGTCAGAATCTGCGGTTTGTCTTGTCTATTTTATTAATTTGGATGTTTTATGTTTGATGTTTCTTTAGTCAAGGCTTTGATCTCCATTTTCCCACCCTGCAGAGGGAGGGGTGGCTGTGATGTGGTTCCCATATATAGCCAAGCTTTTTAAAAAGTGAAACATCTTTCCAACTAATATAAAGCAGTCTTTTAAAACTCAGCTAATTGTTGGAGTTAATTAAAGGTGTTTACATATTTTCTGTGGGTGTTGCCTCTTTTTAAGATCATACTTTCTGTGGGTGTTGCCCTGTTTAGTACCAAGCATGCTCCCTTCTAAGTGAGGAAATGCCTTATTGGTGTGAAGTTCTGCATACATCAAAACTCCTTTTTCATTGTATTCAGCATATTAAATACCACAAGGCTGTTGACAACAAATAATGGTGACTATTTCAAAATATTGGATTCTTCATCATGTTCACACTGTCATATAAACTGAAGGCCTTTCTTGATGTAACAAAGTATCTTACTATTTTTTATTTTGTTCTGGATTTGTGTGCCTGAAAATGTACGGAAATGTTTACTGTAAGATGGGATCTTCACAGATTGTATCAGTTGTGCTCTAGTGTTGAGCCTTCTCACAATGCACATCGACAGTCAAGTCCAGATCTAAGGTCTTATTCACACTAATCCATTTTTAATACTGTTCCTCTACATAGGAACAACTAACATGTGCTTATTGATTCCTGGCACCCTGGGGGCACCACAGCACTGCACTGAATGGGTTTTTTATTATTAATTTTACCTTTTAATATGGAGCGAACATTGAAAACAATAGAATTATTCTGACCTATATTTCTGTGCATGTTGGCATGCATTGAGTCTAATAGTTTCACACTTTATGCCTATTGGGCAAAGTATGGGCCACTGTAATTGTAACAATCTTGCCTGTGCCAACGGGCTTCGGGCTTGTGTTGATGGCATCAGACACTTTTAAAATCATTCTAAATCTATTGATGGGTGAATTTGACATGCAGATGACCTTCTTGTGGTCTGCATTTGACCTGCTTCAAGCTGATTTTGCTTTTCCTATAAACTAGTATGTGAATGCCAAACTCATTTGCAGTGAACAAAAGCCTATTGACAGAGGGCCCTCTGTGAGGGAATCAGATACTTTCCAGCAATAAACAGATTGTCACTGCTCATAATTATGACTGAGCCTTTACCAGTTAATGCGATCAGAAAAGGAAAAGAATTGCGGCATGACTGGAGCACTGCAAACCAATGACTCTTTTTTTTTTTTTCTTCACATTAGTGATTGATAGGAATGGAAGGGATATGGTCAGTTGTTCTATTTTATATCAGTCAGGGTGGAGGCTAAGGTTTGCCCTTAATAGTGGTGAAGCAAACCAATCTGGAGTGGAAAGTAGAAGAATTATTCTAATTGACTTTTATTAGACCATACGAGAAGCCAGTCAGTCCACTTTCACTATGTCCTGAGTCATTTTTCAACTATAGTAGCTAAAATTTCAGCCGTAGGAATTTCTGAATCTTTTATTCTATTAAGTATGCATACTGCAGTAAGCAATGACATTTAGACACTGTCTTTGTCATGCTTGCTTCGGTGCAGTGATATAAATGACAAAAGGTCATTTAAAATATTTCACTTTCAGAGATCCATAAAACAATGACTCAACCATGAAATATTTAACTTTAATGGACACATGAATGCATTTAAAGATTTATTTGCGGCAATATAGCAGGTGTAACACTGCCCCTCCAGCTGTGTGTGTGTACTCGCAAGCTGCAATTGTTCTTCAATATATATCCTTGCACACATGTCAGGGTTTATAAGTGGTAATATAGTACTGTAATGTAGAGAGTACATATAGAGATATAAATACAATGAGGGGAATATATCAAAACTGGAGCAGATGTGCATAGCAACCAATCATTGTCTCTGTTTTCAAATCTTAACTGAACAAACTAAAGGGAGATGCTGATTGGTTGCCATGCACAGCTGCTCCAGTTTTGATAAATCTCCCCCCCCCCCCCCCCCAGACTGTTGTACACGGCACCATCCGTGATTGTCACTGCAAGCACCACAATTTTCACTTGGACCGGAAGCGCTGTAAGGAGTGCAGGGGGACCTACTGTTTTCAGGCATATGAGCATAACAGTCCTGTACTAGTAAAGCAGGAGAGGAAAGAAATGTGAGCAGAAAAAGTTACAAATAAAAATTACAAGGCTTGACACATGGAATAAGTTTGGATGCTGCACCTAAATGAAAAAAAAATTGTAAATAAAAAGGTATTGTTCATCAGTACTCTTAATGGTTTTTTGTACCTTGTTATATACCACTGACAAGTGGAATGTGTTTAAGTTTTCCCACAGCTACCTGTTAGCTGTTGGTGAAATTGCAGCAATTAGTTTCCCACTGTCACGTTTTGGTGGACACACAAAGATGAAAGCTTCTCTCACAGATCTTTAGAAGTAACAGGCTTTGGTACAGCCTTGTTCTCATGTAATCCTTTGCCCTGATTCTCCACCCTCCCATTGCCGTGGTGTGTGGAATGTAGCTATACTGGTCTGTCAATGACTGGGTGTTAATGGCTGCAGGGACTAGTGTTACTAGATCTTTTGTTTAGATACTGTTTATTTCTTGTTCGCAAAGTGATGTCTGTAATGTCAGTGATCCTGTCACTTGTCATTAGTGCTATATGCACTAATTACATGGTATTCTTATGATATCCTGATTCTGCCTTCCTACTTTCAGTCAGTGCCTCATTCTTCATTCTTGTTGTCTCCTTTGAATTATACGTTAATCCACAGCAATCTTGGGTTCATTAAATTTCACTTCCTCACAAGTTTTATTAAACTTTGCCAAATACCATTCACATTTAAAATGCCCCCACACATCACAGACCCTTATTATAATTATACAAAAGCTGTTAACTTTATTGTGGTATCTACAAGTTGCTAACTGCCAAGACTATTTAAAATACTTTCAGTCTTGGCTTCTGTTTGAGGTCACTCCTCCCCTTCGGCATGTTGTAACTGAGGAAATATCAATTCAAATTGCTAGCTGATCTAAGGCAGTTGGTGCTTTCCATGGTCTACTCCTGAGGTACTCCTCGGCACTTTGGCTGTTGTGGACCTACAAGTCCCATGAGGCACTGCAAGACTCTGAAAGGGATTTGAATTTTCACCACAGCTGCAGTGCCAAATTTGCCTACCCTGGTGTACTCTATATAAACTTTACTATTGGTCTACATTTTCTAGAGGTGACGTGCACAGGCACATTCATTGTTGGCTTGTACAGTACTGGTTTTGCATTATATATGCTCTCTGCAAATAGTGCACTTAATCCATTAATTTAGTAGTGTTTAGTAATTTCAATCGCTCATCACTTACACATCACAACGCTATAGCCTGTTTTTCTTTTCATTTAAATTGTTCTTTTATCTTGGATGTAGCTGGGTTTATAGTTCTCTTTTGGCTAAAAATACGGTTCACATGTAAAACTACTTTATTCTTTTCCCAACAAATTGCTTATTTATAGCCATCTGGTTTCTGCATGTAAAAGGTTACACACATGCAATTGTTCAGCTACCTTGATACCTCTATGATGAATTGAAACAAGCCATAATATTGGGCTACAGGTACAAAAAGTGGTCTGTAATCGCGTTTTTGTTCAGGAAATGGTCTGAGTTCATTGCTAAGTAGGGAGATCTAAGGAAGACATTGGGGGTGCCGGTGGGGCTGTTCTGTGATTTTTATTTAACTTTTTTAGTTACAGATTACCATTCCATTTATGGCTTCTCCTTACTCAAGTGCATTGTGAGAACTTGTAAGGGGCCATTTAGACCACTATCTTAAACAGAGTAGAACAAGTTGGGTAGAGCTTAGCTCAAAACTCAGGGAAGTAACACCAATAGTAACAAAGTGACTGAATCAAAGTAAAAGTAATTTATGGCTGATAAATATAATAGCAGCCATCTTGTGCTATGAGCTGTTAGGCAGGACGTATACTTTGAAATGTTTGAAATGGTTGACTGGTTTAGATTAAACTAGTTTTTTTTGTATAAATTGAGTCATAGGGGTCTATTCACGAAGCTGCCGAGGGCAGCCGAGTGAATGACCGATCTGAAGTGAAGTGAGCCGAACACTGTCGGCTATTCACTTCAGGCTGGTACAGCTAATTTCAGCCGTACATCGGCTGAAATCAACCGTACATCGGCTTGCTTCGTGTGGCTTCGGGTCGGCCGAACATGCTCAGCATGTTCGGCCGACCCAAAGTGCAGAAGGAGTTCGACTCAGCCGATCCATCATCTGGATCGGCTGAGCCATGATCGGGAGCTGTACGGGCTATTGTGAATGAGTAGAACCGAAGTGGTCCTGGGGCCGAAGATAGCCGAAGGATCGGCCGAAGTTACGGCCAGATCCTTCGGCAGCTTCGTGAATAGACCCCATAGTATAAGAATTATTGACTTTTCTTCTTAGCCCAGTTGGCTTATGTGAAGGCCCGGACTGGATGGTAAAGCAGCCCCCAGTATGCGCTTTGTAAACCGCAACACAAAAGTAAGACATTTTAGATTCACAAATCCCGGTCCCCAAATACTAACAAGTATTTCAGGCATCACTCAGTTGATGCTAAAAGCAGAGAAGAGCGATTGGATGCTTTTTATAAATAAACCAAACTCTTCATATGTTTTTGTTTGTTTTTGGTTTTTTGTAATGCACGTGATAGATTATTTAAATAAAACCAAATCTTAGTAACCTGTGATGGACTATAATCCAATTCTTTGAAATAGTCTTGGCAGTTAGCAACTTGTAGATACCACAATAAAGTTAACTGCTTTTCTATAATTATAATAAGGGTTTGTGATGTGTGGGGACATTTTAAATGTGAATGGTATTTGGCAAAATTTAATAAAACTTGTGAGGAAGTAAAATTTAATGAACCCAAGCTTGTTGTAGGTTAGCATATAATTCAATGGCGACAACAAGAACGAAGAATGAGGCACTGACTAAAAGTAGGAAGGCAGAATGAGGATATGATAAGGATATCATGTAATGTGTTTATTTTTTAACCATTTGTATTGCCTGTTCAGTGAAAAACATAAATGTAAAAAAAATGGGATCTGATTTTAACCTTAGCTGAGGAGTATCCTTTTGTTACTTGTGCAAAGAATGTAATGACCTTTCAATGTACTCCTTTACAATTTGGAAAACAGTAGATATGATGAAATTAGCTTGTTGAAACTTCTACCAACTACTGCCCAGTTAGGAGCCTTCTCTCTGCCATTAATTTATGTCCCTGGGTTATCACAGCATTACACCCATTTCTCGAGAAAACACCTAGATGTTTGTTATGCAAATTTGACTATAGAGAAATGTAGCTGATGATATTCATAATTAAATTTTATCTGTATGAGTCAAAGGATTGGTATTAAGGGAGAGACCTTAAATGAACAATGACAGCTGTTTAAACTCTGCTGTGCCCACTGTTGCAAAATCTGGATAGTACCAATGGCTGTGATGGGAATTTTATACCAACTCCTAGCTTGATTTACAATATGCCTTGAGCTCTCTGTTCTAAAGATCAACATACCTATACTCAAGTTTGTTGCCATAGAAAGAACAAACCTTCATAAATTAATACAGAAATAATTTTTGTACTTTGCTAGCCATTATCTTCTCTTGACTAATGGTTAAGATATTTGTGATTTATGCTATTGTTGCATGCTACAGGTGATCATGTGGCAGTGTAATCATGCATGACAAAAAATGGTTGGCACAAGAGACTACAATGTCTACAATACCAGAGGTTTACAATGGTGTTTAATGGAGGTCTTTCTTGGGAACGTTTAATATATTTTCCTGTTGAGCTGTTCCCTTTGCACATAAAATAACCAGGAATCGCCTGACTTGTGAATGTATAAAGGTGGGAATTGCATACGAGTCTTAAACCCTTCCACTATAGGTGTTTGTGAAAGTGTGCCGGAAATTTCTTGCATCTTCTAGTACATTCTTAAACGTGTCAAGCATTAATATAACCCAAGAAAATGTTCCTCTGCTGGAAAATAAAAATGGAATATCAATAAAGGATTTTTAAGATCAAGGTAAAATGTCCAAATCTGTGAAGTTTTAATAACTTTTGGAAATACAACTAATTTCCTATTTGTTTGCTTGCAGACAAAGAACTCCAGAGAGAGAAGGAGAAGCTGGAAATGGAGATGTCTTCTTTACGTTCTATGAACGATGACCAAAGAAGGCACATTGAGATTAGAGACCAGGCTCTAAACAATGCACAGGCCAAGGTGGTGAAACTGGAGGAAGAAGTAAGTTTGACAGTTTCTACAGATTCAGTTGTCCCTTTAAAAACCAGCTATGATTTTGTTGCTACAAATAATGGATGTTTGGTTTTTAGTTGATGTGTCTTTGTTGTTTAATGCTGTGTAGACTTTTAATCATACTGAGCAATTCAGCTAAGGCTTTTGGGTCAAAGATGATTGATTTAATACTATATTGTCAGCCTTGGACATAGTTTTAATGTGGTTAAAAAAAAAGTATGTACAGAACAATGGCAAATAGCTGAAGATGCGGCTGTACGAATATGTAAGCAAATCCCACTGTTTACTCGTGTAGCGGGACATAGGCACTGCACCAAACTCAGAAGTGTGAAGAAGTCTGCATAATGTGTGAGGATTACATAGTGCTGCCCTGTTAACAGGGTTTAGGTGCGCTTACAGGAGAAGGTGGGCACAGAGAAGACCTCAATAGTTTTTGATGTTATTTCATAATCTAATAGGTAGGTTGGAGGTTTTGATGTAAAAGCGGAAGTTGCAGAGCTGCAGGCTTATGTTTGAGTCATGCTCTAGGATTGTAGTGTGTCATAGTATGTAAATCACAGGACTGGCTGAACATTGACTCTTGTGCGGTTCTCCTGTGTATTTAATTATTTGTCTGGAGTTCTGAGTTAAGTGTTCATTTGGTTACTGGAGCAAAAAATTTAAAAATCCTGCTTCTCAAGCTACGCATTCCTGGACAATTCTGCCACTTGTGTTACTTGACGTGGTACAGTGCTTCTTATACTCCCAGCTCCTGTCTTCTAATGAAGTGAAAGCTAAATGCCAGATTTGATTTTAACCTCTTCAATAGCCAATTAATATTTGTAAACAACCAAGGTTAAGCCTGTTTTTGAAAGGGAGGTTTGGAGAGGTTCATAATGACTCCACTGGGAGTCTGGGCAATGTCTAGGACATAGGAATTCTCCAGAGTTGAAAATGTAACATATTTTATTTTCTTGCTTTTATGTTCTGGAAAACATCAAACTCGGTGGAACATTCCACAATGAAAGGAAAGCTACTAGTCAGAATATTGAAATAATCCCTACTCTGGTGCATACCTTTCACCATTCTACTTTTACTGCATTAAGTAAGATGCTGGCTGAATTAATATCATATTCGCAATTTGGACTTCTACCTTTGTATAATGTAATCAACTCTGCATTTTTATAATGGCTGTCTGTATTCAAATATTTAGGTGATTTTAAGGTACTGATATCTGCTAAAACAGACACTGCAATAGTTTAATGAACCAATATGATGAGGTCCTAACACAATAAAATAGGAAAGTTACAAAATATCAAGATCATTTCAGAGCATTGGACCTGGGAGACTGCAAAGACTAACAAACACTAAAATTAATATTATGTCTTTAATTCTGAAAAATCATATTTTGTCATAAAAATAGTTGAAAACATTTTAAATATTTAATGGTTTATAATTCATGTACAGGCAGTCCCCGATTTACAAACATCCAACTTACATACGACTCCTACTTACAAACGGAGGTTATTACTGTACAGCAGGGGGTGCCAGGCTGCAGCCAAAGTGTAACGTGCTGCACTCCAGTAGTTGTAATGCTACCGCACTCGTGCCAACGAGGTGTGCCCCCCTTTTTGGGTCTGGTTCGTAGTACTGTATGTACATTACAGGAAATTGGCTCATGTTAGACGTGCAGACGAGGGGTGCCCACCTCTTCTTCTGGGTCTGCTGTCTGTATCCTCATTAGAAAGATTCAATCTTGCTTCCTATCCTTGAGACAACAGGAAGTGAAAGGAAATCTACCCCTATTGAAGCTCCATTGAAGCTTTATCACCATTTCTTGTTCCCACGACAACCCCAAATTTTCAAAATCCACAGGGACAGAAAGTGAGGCGAAATCTTATGAACAGGGGCACACACAGCAAAACAAACATTACAGGGGGTTAACCCTTTCCTATGCTATCCAATACAAAAAAATTTTTTTGGGCTGGAGTTACTTAAAAAATGTACCTGTTCCAATTTACATACAAATTCAACTTAAGAACAAAGCTTCAGTCCTTATCTTGTTCGTAACCCGGGGACTGCCTGTATCTACATATCAGTCAGTCAAACACTAAAGGTTTCTATAGCAGAGATGCCTCACATCTTTTTTTTTCTGACACCAAGTGGCAGCAAAGCTTGCTCTGGGACTGGAAATATTTTTTGGGGTTCCCAATTTAAGTCCAAATCCCTTGGGTTGTGTACTCTGTAGTAATAGGTTTTATTTTTTCTCTCATTCTCAGTTCTAAGACAGGAGGAAGTTTAGTTGGTATGTGTATCATCGTCATTTTCTATTCCTTATAGATTATCTGTGAAAGAGTTCTTGGAGAACTTACACCAGAAAAATGGTCTCTGTACTATATATTTACGGTCTTTCTAGAAAAAAAATCTGGTTTTATTATCCATGGTAATGAGGAGTAGGAGAAGGACAACTCTGAATTTCTGAGATCAATAAGTACCTATACTCGAGTATAAGCCGAGATTTTCAGCCCATTTTTTTGGCTGAAAAGTGCCCCCCTCGGCTTAAGGCATTTATTACACAGTAAAACACTTGTCAATGTAATATTTAACCGACCAAAAAGGGAGCAAATAAAAGAAGTTAATTGTCAGGTTTTACATAAACTTTAAGGACCTCTTGTTTATCGAGTTAATGTTCTGTTCCCTTTTGGGCTAACCAAGTTTCTTAAACTTTAAGGCTAAATTGGTAAACTTGAGGGTTTTTTCTGCATAGACTACTCTAATAGAGCTTAGTGTTCTACTCAGGGTAGACTGAGTGGTTTTCATTTTACCCTAGTAAGACACACAATAAAGATTTTGACTGGCCTTCCCTTAAATAGGTGAGCAGTATAAGGGTTAAGAGGTACTATACCTACAGCATGGCATATTCTTGGCTATGTCTTTTGTTTTGCTCTGCTTGATGACAGTTATGACTTTGTGATGGACTGGTATTGCTCGCCAGCCTTATACCATAAGAGGCATCCTGAGCAGTCAGTATAAACACAGGGGATTCCTCTCATAGTTCTGTCAAGTGCCGTCTAAAAGAGAGTTATCATGGCAAGGACTTGGGATATACTGGATTCTTTGCATACTAGAACTGTACCATAAAAGGTACAGAAATGTCATATCAATATAGAAGTGCCAGTTTCACACGTTATGCTCTTGGTTTAGCCCTGTCAGTGTTTGTGAAGGCGGGGGATTCCTTTTTGCAAAGCATAACTTTACAGTTTATTTCAATAACTGTGAGTTTGGAAAGAAATTCTATAGCGTGCTTGCTTGTTTGAAAGGAAATTACAAAGGAAACTGAGATAAACCTTGTGCTAAAGCTAAAATCACTAAAGTCCAGTGTGAGTGGCATATATATATATATCTATATATA